AAGGTAATTATCACATGTAGCGGAATTTAACTGATTGGAAATAGCAAAATAGTATTGTCTCCATGATATACAAATTTTTCTCGATCAGATGGGCCCTGTAAATTTTCAAAAAGATATTCTCAGGGTAACCAAAAAACAAAATGAAAAGAAATTTGAATTTTTAAAATCTGCAGAGTACTGTATGTGTTATGTAAAATAATTGGTACAAACCTTTCACATGAAGAACAGAAGCAAGCATTGTCCAATGACCAAGGTTTGCGTGGATCTCCATATATTTTAACGTTGCAGCACCGTACAATAATGGTGTCTCAAAAGAAAAATATACATTAAAAAAACAAAATAAATAAAAACGAAAAAGAAAGGATCTTCTCCTCCTTCAGAATTAGGAGGTGATATGATATGCAATGGGAAAAAGACTTTGAGTCTGCGGAGAAAGCAGCCAATTGGTCAATGACATGGAGCCATCTGACAGTCATCACTAAATGATCATGCACACATGCTGCACCAACAAAATTACTTGTCCAATATTTACCCTTCAAATTTTCATATTACAACATAAAATAAATCTTAATTTTAGAATTTCAGTATATATTACACCTAGATACATTGTTCTGGGTATATTCATGAGTGCATTGTGTATAATCTTTATAATGTACCTAATCAAATAAACTAATTTTTTTTGCCTATTAATGATGAAACGTTAATTTAACGAGTGTCAGTTGTCGAATTTAAAACATGCTCACTTTTAATTGTATCACAAAACTAACGAGTTGGAAAAGAGCAGCAAATCTGATTAAATACTTGAGTTTAGTATAAATAAACAAATAAACCATATTAATAATGGATGAAAATCTAAGGGCTCAATAATAAAATTTCTAGTAAGTTCTACTCATATGTGGTCAGTAATTTCATCACTATACGTAAGCAATCACAAAACATCCCCACCAAAACACTCCCTACACCACTATATATAATAACACCAATACCCCCACTGTACCCACCGACCCACAGGACCATACTCCTATCTCTCTCTCTCTCTCTCTCTCTCTCTCTCTCTCTCTCTCTCTCTCTCTCTTCAGAAACACACATTGACATTATAAAGCAAACAAGTTGATGAGAAGTTAAGTGCCAGCTACCAGAGGCCAGAAGAGATCGAAGATCAACCTCACAAATTTGAGCATTGCAAATTTACATACTATTATGGATGAGAAATGGAAGCTGCCAAAGAAGCACCAAGAAGGCACTTCGTCTTCTTCTTCTTCCAAGTTTGCATTCACAAGGAGTTCATCAACAAGAAGCCAGTCTTCAAATGCTCCTCTTTTGATGAGGAGCTATTCACAGAAGAGCAATGCCTCTAATTCCAAGTGTCCACTTCCCAGAAGTACGTCACAGAAAAGCTCTAAAATCAGCAGAAAGTGTAGCAGCCTTGCCAAGGAACAGAAGGCTAGATTCTACATCATGAGAAGATGTGTTGCTATGCTTGTTTGTTGGCATAAGCATGGTGATTAATTAATCTTGATGGGATTTCCCAAATTAATCCATTATTGTGTTAGTGCTAGAAATTAAGCTATCTCCCCTCTTTTATTTCATTCATATATAAATATATAAATATATATATATATATCATCTTCCTGTGTGATGGGACTCATAGATGTATCAAATTTTCTCCCATCTGATCAAGAGGAGACTGATAACACAAAAGTTCTCTAGTTTTTTAATTTTAACTTTTTGCTTTTCTTAATCTTGGTTTATATTTTATAATTATATATATCATTTGTAATTACAATTGAGATGAGCTACCAAGTCTTTTATATGTACATTGTGAAAAGAGATTAGCATATATATCAAATACATATTCAATGTTCAAGTTAATCAAATCTCATGACTAACCCAACATCCATAATTTTAAATAATTAATTAATTTTTTAATGTTTGGAGGAGAGAAAGATTCCCTTTGGATGTTGTGGGGAGCTGCCAATATAATAAGACATTAGAAGTAACTTCTGTCTGCCTTGGAAATGCAAGCCACACCTTTTCGTTTCTTTGACGAGAAATTTTGAGTAAAAATTCTCTTAGAAGTGACATCATACTTTAGTTTGATTTAATCTAGGAATGTAGCTTCTCTCCCATGTACCCTCCTTGTACACTAATCTCGATGCCTACCTATATTCTAATTGTGCCATATGCCGCTGCTGAAAAAAATGTAATATATTAATAACTTGCTTAAATTTTTGATACCTTTTCAATTGTCAACATGGAAAGACCAATGTTTTCAATTTGACAATGGAAGAGATACATGAGAGGTTTAGCTCATTTTTGTGTGGAAAATTGGTGTTCTCGATTGATGATTTGAAATTATTTGGGGAATCAATCCTGTAAAACGAGCATGCCAACTACGGGTGTGGATCATAGTTGAAGAAATTGATTTTCAAATACACACAAATTATAGTGAAAATAAGTAGGAGCTTCTACATTATTCCAATAATATTGTGACATATGTGTATAAGTTTTTCGTATGCATGACAATATGTGAATGTGTATACATTCCACTTCATTTGCAAAATGTGCTATAGAATATAGATCAAGAACTGATCCCACCATGGACGGACCCAGGATTTGAAAATAGGGTGGGCTAAATTTACCTTACATACAGACCTACTTAAAGATAGAAAACTCGACGGTACAAGTTAATTTCATTGATAACAAGAAGTTCCAAATTTCTAATTTTTTTTTTTAAAAAAATAATGTTAGTATGAAAATTGTATTGTCATTTCCTATACTCTAGCATAGGTCGGGAATTAGGATGTAAATATCTTTTACTGGAAGTTTTGGCACAACATATTCAATCCCGGATTTTCAAAGAAAGACTTGATTGATATGTGGAGACTGATTTCAGTTAAATCATGACATAATCATGCATTCATTATAGGATTCCTAGTTGGAGCTATTTTCACTCAAGCACTTCTATGTTAGTCCTATTTTTAATATGATTAGATTTTATCTCTTGAGATTACTTTCCTAGT